AAAATCACAATGAATAAGATTTTGCTGATGTATTTCATTAAGTCCAATAATTATTTTATGTAATTTAAATAACTTGAATATCCAATTATCATTAACAAAATATGATAAATTTCTCTTAAATTATTATTTTTAGCATAATTCATTATTATCATATAATTTAAAGTATTTGAATCTTAAGTAAAACTATATAATCTAATAAGATTTTCATTTAAATAATTTTGACTGTAATATTTATGATAATATTTCTACTAAAAATAATAAAATTTTATTAAAAATAAATTATTTAAATTCAAAATAAATTATTAATTTAATACTTCATTTAAAATTTCTTCATTTAAATTTGATGAATTATTAAGACTTTTAAGAATTAAATTCATTTTACCATTTCTCTTCTATTTATTTAAATTATAAGGTAATATATTAAATTTCCATTTTTTTTTACAATAAAACCATCTAATCAAATAGCTTTATATATAGTACTAAATTCTCTTTCATTAAAATATTCAATAATTTTAAGTCTATTATAAGGAATCTATTCTAATATTAATCTTTCATATATAGCATTTAACTGAGTTTTTTAAATAAATTCATTGATAAATTTATTTTTACTAGTCCAAGAAGAAAAATCTTTTTGAAATTACTTTGAATTATAATCTTTATACCATTTATAAATAGTATTTTCTTTATTATAAATTGAACAAGTTTCTATTTTCTAAATTATAATAATCTATTTTTAATATTATTAATTTTTTTTAAATTATAATTAAAATTTATTGATATAAAATACAAGACTTACTAATTTGAATGATTTTATTAAATATTTATTAAATATTTTTAATAAAAAAAAAATCAATAAAATAAATATTAGTAATCAAATTAGATTTTAAATAATTATTTTTTTTAATTTATTAATTTGTTAAAGAAATTGTAAAATGCAATTATTTAAATTTAAAAATTAATAAAATGACTTACTAACTATTATAGTATTATTAAATAAAATTTTAGTTAAGTTTAAATTATAATGAAATGTATGATTATCAATAAAATAATCATACTATCTATTAAATGATTAATTAATATATATTTTATTAAATTAAAAAATTAATTGAATTTTTAATTTAATTAATCAATAAAAATAACTTACTCCCTATTAAATTATTAATTATTATTATTTTTTTTTTAAATAACTATTTAATTAGATTATAAAATATAAATAATCAATAATAATAACTTATATCCTAAAAATTATCATATATATATATTTTTTAAAATAAAAAATTTAGTTGAATTTGAATTATACAAATATGAGTTAAAATTATAGAAAATCAATGAAATAACTTATGGTCTTAATTATTATTTTTTTAAGAAAAAATTTAGTTGAATTTAATTAAAGATATAAATGATTATAAATGATAACTTACTTTCTGTAAAATTATTAATTAATAATAAAATTTAGTTGAATTTAAATATAGATAATTAATAAATCTAACTTATGATCTATATTATTTAATTAAGAATTTAATTGTTTTATTGTTTTTAATTGACACAAAAAAAAAATATAACTAATATCAATAAAGGTAACTTACTAAAATATCAATATATAAATATTATTTAATAAAAACTAAAGTTTAATTGCAAATTAAAAAATAAAGTGAACTTACTCCCTAGAAATAATCAAATAAAAATTAAGTTAAATTGCATATGTCGAAATAAAGTACATATTAAATGACTTACATCCTGTAGTATTGTTATAAACCATTACCATTTATTTTTTATTAAAAATATTAAAAAATAAATTATTAATTAAACTTAGTGAGAATATGAAGTTATTACCATTTAATTCTTCTAATGTAGGAGCATCTAAAATTTTATAAATTAATTGTTATTTAAATTATATTAATTTTATAGTATTTTTGGGGTAATGAATAGTACTTGATATTACCTTCTAATATTCTAATGAAGAAATTTTCTTAACGCCCGAAACTATTTCTAATGGATTTTTAATAAAATTTTTAGAATATCGTCTCATGTCCTAACTTTCAAATGACTATGTTAAATTCATTTGCTTTTTTAAACTTTATATTATACTTTTTTACCTTTGTCGTTATCGTCATACATTGTTATAGTTTAAACGAAAAAAAAAGCATATCACATTTTTATTGTTTTTCATTATAAGGTTATTGTTTATGCATTGTCATACAATTCCAACAATAGCTAATGTGTTGGTCATTTTTCGTTGGCTGATTATTTCCGGTTCTGATGTTCTGATGACGGATTGCAAGCTGCGCGGAAAAAGATATTAAATTTCGTTAGAATTCTGCTTACCTAGACTTGTACGTAAAATAAATTATTCTGCAAAATAAATGTAAAATGACAACTTATTTCGGATTTTAATGGTAAAATTCAAAGAAGATAGATAATGCTTGTCCTCACGAATCAAGCTTGCACGCATATTTTAGCCAGCTCTAGAATTGATGGGTTAAGTTCAAGAAAGTATAAAAAATTCGTTTATATCTAAATTCATTACGACTCGAGTCGGAATTATTTCGACTCGAGTTAAGAATTCAAATTAACTCAAATCTACCTGCTTGAGTTCATACTAATTTGTTTGATGGGGTATTAACGTTTTATTTTTTAATGTTAAAAAGAATTTCGCATTGAAATACTTCAAATACTTCATGAAAGCACATTATAAAATTACATGACTAGAAAGTCATAATCCTAATTTTAAAAACTTAAATAAGAAGGCTGCTGAAAAAATTAGTTGATTTATTTACAGACTCTATTAGACAATTTTATCACGTGCGGTAACAAAATTTCAAAGTACCGCGGTATATTAATCATTCCCTTTAGATATTTAAATTACGTACAAGAATTTTAGCATGCTATTTAATGAGTTTATGATATGATAATAAAAACTGATGATATATTTCGCTACGCTATAGAATGATCAGCTCGGCTTAACAATATTCTTGTATATTAATATTTAACTTTTAATATATTTAATGTTCTAAACGTTAACTCTAATTACTCGAACATATGTAACTCGAGTAAGAAAAACAACTATAGGACGAGTTACTACAATCAAAACTTGGTCAATAATGCTATCAGCGCTTGTTGCTTAATATGAAATTTAGTTATTTGTCGGTTCAAATAAAATTATATAAACTTATAGTTATCCTTATTATATAAATTGTGGGTTTGATATTGGTCGACGCAGGGTCTGTGTTTATATTAATATCCCAATATTCATAAACAGGTAAGTGTGGTAAACACTCTTTGGTCTAAATATTCAACATAAAAAAATAAAAAAAAAATAAAGTATTATTTATTAATTTTTAAAAAAAAAAATTTTAAAAATTCGTGTAACATATATTTAAAAATAATACGTAAATTCATTGTCAAAACATGTTAAATCGGCAGTTAAATTAAACTATTTGGTCGAATATTTTTATGATCAATAAAATGGATTTTTTTTACCTTATATCCCGTTGATTTTTTCTTTATTTTTACGTTCAGTATAGTATGCTTTCCAAATTTGCACCCCATGGTGATATTGTATTATAATCATGAATTTATAAAAAAGTTTTGCACTTTATATAATGTATTTACGAAATCTGGGCAATATAAGGTCATGTGTTTAATGCAATTACATTTTTAACGAGCGAGAAAAAGGATAAATAATCAGTGATGATTTGGTATACAGTAAATTAATGCGAAAGACTAAAATAATCGGTCATTATCTGAGTTTTTTTTCAAAGTTTGGCTCAACAAAAGATGGATATTGAACTTTAATAACTTAATAAGTATAAATCATATATTTCAAACAATTTTAAATGGAACTTTTTATATCTTTAATTTAATTGTTACCAAATGCATATAATAAAATAACTTAAATATAGGCAAAGACTTTTGATTAGCTAATTTCAAAAGTCAATCATTTTTCCGAGAAAATTTTTTGATTTTCCGGTCAAACTAGAAACTAAGCGTCCATCAAAATTTTGTGGAAATAGATAATTTATTTTAACAACTTTTGTTTAGATTAATGATTAATTTATGCAATTTAGACATAATACAGTAAATAGATGTTGAATTTACTGTATTTGAATTTGAAGTTACTGCTGTTGTTACGCCTTGAATAAAGTTTATTAAGAATTTTAATCCTTGTCATCATAAATGCAAGTACAATATAAGTAATAAAACGTGATATCATTTAATTGGGATTAAAGAAATATGCCAAACTTTGGTTTCGTCGTCATTTATATATAAAAAAAAAAAAGAAAATCTGAAAGTTATTGTGTTTAATGGGAAATTTTTCATTATAATTAATGATCATTAACGAGCCAATCATCTGCTAGTTACACAATCAACAAAAAGTTAACATTTAATTCAAAAAAGAATTAAACTCTGCAAAAACTACAGGTAAACCACTTTAATAATTTGTTTAATTGTTGATTTTATCGCATAATAGTCTTATTCATCACTTGTTTTGAAATATGAGTGGTCCATAAGAAAAACGAAATTTTAACTTACTGTACCAGATTTGATTCATTCATTAAAGATAATAATTGTGACCAGAATTCATTGATATATATACACTCTCACCTCTTAGTATACACTTTTTTTCTTAATCCAAAATGAGCAAACAAGACACGTGATGACAAAAAGGACGCATTATTGCAGCCAAAAAATTAGGTCACAACAATACAGAGATTGCAAAAGCTATTGGATGTCATCGAACAACTGTTACAAGATTCTTGCAGCTTTTGAATCAGGAGAACCATCCAAAAAACGACAGGTCGACCCTGCTGGATCGACAGCCAAAAAAGGCAAAGATTAAAGGCCATCGTTCTCAACAACAAGGAACTATGACGAAAAGATCTGGCAGAAATTACTAATATATTTTCTGCTGAAATCAATAAGCCAATCTCTACAAGAACAATTCATCGTGCACGTTACAAACCTTTCATTTCAACAATTAACAAATCCAAACGACTTATATGGGCAATAGAAAGAAGACTGGACAGATAAGTCCACATTTTCACAGTTTAAAAATCCGGATGGGGAAGAGAGCTAGAAGAAAAGTTTCGTGAAGAGAACATTGCATCAACAGTAAAACCTTCTCCTCAAAGAATGATTTGGTTATGTTTTTGCTTTTTAAATTAGGTCCCATTGCTCCACTTGAAGATTCAGCAACTGGAAAAGTATATAAAGAAGTGCTATTCACTTATGCAGTTCCTACACTCAAATCATTTGCGCGGTAGTCGCCTTATACGTAACACTCGGGGATGATATAAGCCGAATTTATGCAATGTTCCCCTCCGTAACCAAAAAATATCTTAAGAATTAGCATTCCGTCTGTTTTCGAACAACAATGATCCATGCTGTGCGCAATTACCCTGCGTATCGCGAAATCATTTCAAACAAGGAGTCCTTTAACGCGTTCTATGACCCAGAGATGATATATATTCGAGTGCATCCTTGGTAACGATGAAACTATCTCTTATGACCGAGATCGATCTCGTTTATAGATAGCTGAGGACCAAGACAAGTTTTTTCTACAATTCTATTTGAAGACCTTATTGATAAAAATAAGATAACATTCGATGGTAAAATTTACCAAATTAATGCGGTCCGCGATGTTGCAATCTAGCACACGTACATTTTATATCGGAATTCTTTGGTGTTCCTTTAAAAACTCAAGAATCACCTCGCGGCGTCTTTATAAACTCTTCATTATATTTATGTACCTTCGTCAATGCTGATCCCGTAGAAAATTTTAAACTGCCAAGAAAGCCTCGGAGCATCTGCATGATGCCATGCAAAAAATTGTCGAAATAGTAAGCGGAAAATCAACATTAACCACCGACTCTCTTATTGGTGCTGATGTGAAAGTATCCCCCCTTCTGATTTAAAAATTTTAATGAAACAATATAAAGGTAAAACATAGCCACTTGGAATATCATCGGTACAATTTCCGGTGTGTAGAAGCGACGACGTCTTTGGTCGTTGATTTCTACTTCCCATATTTATGCAAATTAAATAATTAGCGATTATTAAAAAAAAAAAAACTTTTTAAAAAAAAAAATCGCGGATATAAAAAATATAAATCAGATGGACAAAACTTATAGCAATCCTAAAAGACATTTATCGTTGCTAAAAAATGTTTTTCATATATGTCATTTTGCTTCCATAAATATTGTTGTGACTGTTGTGACTGAAATTGATTTTCGTATGTGTTATGGTAACGTAAATCTCAATTTTGTTTATCATCTATTTAGAAAATTTATAGAACCATATAACACAAGCTATAGCAACGATTATTATCAACAGACATATTTGGCTTTGTAATTATGTGGCAACAAAATTTAGAACAATTTTTTTTCAAAATTTTTTATATATGGTAATCTAAACGTCCCGTTACACTATTTTAAGAATTAATTTAAAATTAATTATTAAAATAGTCCGAGAAATTTTAACATCAAAAACTAAATGTTAAAAATTCCCGAAACCTGATTTTTCTAGCAATTGATGTCTCTTTTTTTTTATGTGTCGAAATAAAATTGTTTATCGCTCAACAATTAGTTTCAAAATTTCCAGATTTTAAGTTCAAAATTAGAAAGATTAATTATAATTGAAATTTCACTTTTTTTAAGATTTTGAGTTCAATTTGAATAATTTGAATATATATAAAGGACTGGTACACAAAAAAAATTTTCGTATTTCACAACTTATTTTTTTTCTGTGGCAAAACTATTTATAAGAAAAAACTGGCGATAAAATTCTTTAATAAATCAAAAACTTTTAAACGTGAAAAAATTATAAAGATCTAAAAATTTTTAAATCGAGAGAAATTTTAAATACGAAATTATAGTATATATAGAAATTATATTTGAAAGAAACTTTTTAGATGGGATAAAAGGGATACATTTCTTATGTATATGATCTTATAATTTTTTCTTTGAATTATTATACATTTAACTAAATCCTTCAAACTTGCAAAATATTAATTATAAATTGCAAATATTTGAAAATATTATTTATTTATTTGTGCTCACAGTGAATAAATTTATATTAAATAATAAAAATAATAATCAAATCAATTTTTTTTTTAAAAAAAAGAGAGAAAAAAAAACATTATATAACCTTTACCGCGACGGACTGATCAAACCGGACGAAAAAAATAAATATTAGTAATTAGTAATGCAAAAAAAAGACTGAAAAAATAAAAAGAAAAACAAACTCACCTTGCCGCGACGGACCGACCGGTCAAAGGTTAGAAAAAAAAAAAAAGAAAAATTTTAATAAAAAGAGTTAAAACAAATGTAGAAAAAAAAATAATAATAAAGGTTAGTAATCCGACACAATGCAAATAAAAAGAAGAAAGAAAGAAAGAAAAACCAACAAACTCACCTTTGCCGTGACAGACCGATCGGTCCGTCACGGCTGTGATTGACGGTTTTTTTTGCATTGTTTGGGATTACTAATTACTAATTCCTTTTTTTTTTGTTATTTTTATTACTTTTTATTTATTTTTTTCCCTTTTCTATAGGCGAATTTTTTTCTCTAGGGCGATTTATTTGATGAAAGAATCAAAAAAAAATACTTTAGCTAAATTACCTATAAAATTATTTTTGTTAAAATACAAAATAAAACGGGTGGGTGACGTAGTCACCCGCAGTGAAAATCAAATCCTAGTTCTTCCAGGAACTCGCATTGAATTTTAAAATTTTTTTTTTTAAAAAAAAAAAATAATAATCTATAATAATAAAAAAATACATGTAGATCATTAACGTTTAGAATATTTTTATAAATAAATTTTTAAATTGTGTGACCCTTAATTTGTGTTACGTTTAGTTCAACGAAATTCAGAGAAGAAATTTTCTATTTTAGCGTAGTGGTGATCAGGTCACTAAAAATATTTGGCTATATCCGATTTTACTATGGTTCATCTCATGGAAGACTGGTTTGGACTATAGATTAGTAATTAAAATTTTCTTTTCTTCTTTTCTCTTTGAGTACTTATTATTAATCTATATAATAAAAAGATACATAGTGACAAGATAGTGAATGATCCGAGGTCCGGGTGATTCACACTAGAGCCCGCGATGCAAAAATAAAAAAAATGCATTTTGAAATTACCAGAAATGCACAGAAATGTAAAAAAATGCAAAAAATTTTTTTTATTTAGTAAAAAATATAAATTTAATTGGAAAAACATTAAAAAACGTTGCACATGACAAAATATTGATAACTAATATGACCATTCTTTGACTGATGATAATTAACTTCCGGTTGTTCTAATCCTAATAAATAATAGTATTTTTTTTTTTTGTGATAATAATATGTTTTCGTAATAATAGATCACTATAATGAATTTTTTTTTTGAGATAATTTAATTTTCTGAAATTTTTTTTTTTGTTTTTGTCAATAGTAGATATAATTACTTATTTTTTTTAATATGCATGCAAAAAAAATTTTTCTGGGAGGTACCGAGTACCCCCTGAGTACAGTTATGTCACTTTTTAGCTCACGCAGTCCAGTAACTTGCCTAAAATTATTTGAGTATGTACATATTTGTTAAACTTTTTTTTTCCCGTATATTCACTATAATGAGTGGTTTCGCAGTGAATGATTTTATTATAATGACGCGTTATTATAATACTAATTTATTTTTAATATAATGAGTTTAATTTTTACATATATATTCTCTTAAATTTCTTTTATAAAATTATTTCAAGAAATATTTCAATTATGGATACTATTGAAATTATTGACGATAATACCAAATGTTAGTTATTATAATAATTATCATGCTGTAATATACGTATATAAAGACTTTTAAAATGTTTTAAAATAAAGCTTTCTTGCAGCAAATTATTAAATATTAGGATTCTAATTAGATGGTTCTTGATTAATAAACAATACTGATACATATGGCTGTATGACGCAGTGAAATGGTCAGAAATCAGAATATTTTATAAAATTGCATGAAGCGAAGAACTTTTTCCATCCAAATCACGGTTTTATAAAAAAATTATTTCGATATAAAATTTACCCATCTATAAAAAAATTTTATTACAGTCATGTGACGCCCATTTGTCTTTTAAGTTTAAAATGATAGAGTTTTTTGCGGAGATTTATTGGTTACATATTATATAGGTCATATAAATTCTAACAGTCCGATTAATCAACATTACAAGACTCAGCATGGTTATCTCAGTCTGATGGTGGCCAAGTCTTATTAAAATTTATTCAGTCTGCATAAAAATTCGCATGACTGCACTCAAAAAGATCGTCGGAATGTACTTTTTAGGCTTATTTTTTTTATCATTTTTAAATTTTTCCTTTATTTATTTACTTTATTTATTTTATTTTATTATTATTTATTTATTTTCACCCTAATTAAAACAAAAGTGTGATTATATAAACATCACTTATAAAAGCGAATCGGAATTTTATTTCAAGATGCATTAATATATATAATTAACCAAACTCATTGACCCCGGTGCGAAGCAACGGGTTACAGCTAGTAATAATAATAAAATAAATACTTGATAAATTTTAATAATCGTATGGCGCAGTAATTTTGTAGTTGTAAGTGTAAACATTATTTTAAAAATTTAAAAAATTGAAAGTCACACCTTCATATACGATATATTAGTTATCACTGCTTAAGACACATTTTATTAAATTAAACAAGTTTAGTTAATTAATTAGAGTAAATTAAAATTAAATATTTTAATATTAATAATTTTTTTTTTAAAAAAAAAAAGATTAGTTTAAATAAAAGATCTAACTTGCTAAATAATTTCGTATAATAAGTAAGTGTCAGGGCCGCAACCATTTGAATAAGCTGTACACCGGAAATTTGATGTATCTTTGAAATCCACTATAAATATATTCTAACTTCCCACGCCGTTTTGACAGTAACCAACACTGTTAACAAATTTATTAAGCTATCCATGATTTGGGTTATATAATGGAATACATAATTATTAAGATGTATTAATTGACTTCAATCAAATTTACCACGAATACTTCAAGAGAACGTATAAGGGAGGAAACCAATAAGATGAAGGGTCATTCATTAACCAAATTGGGTAAAAAAGATCGAATTTTTTTCTATAGGTGATCCGATGAAATAAAGACAAAAAAAAAATTGTTGTAACATTACATTGTATAATATTGAGAGAGATCGACTGTTCCGAGATCGACTGCAGTTATAATAAGGGTTTGATTGATACAATTAAAACTTATAAAGTTAAAAAACAAATAAAAGAAATAAATGCAATTCACAATAGGAAAAACCTAAGATTAGACAATTTTGGATTGTCATTTTCTTAAATGTTGAATGAGAAGAAAAGTGATTTCTTAATTGTTGAATAAAAAAAAATAAGTATTTGATACCGAAATGGTTTAAAGGTCATGGTATCTTGTTAAGTTTTCCAAGGGTTAGAAACTATATATAAGGTCTCTGAAATTCGACAAGGAAAAAAAATATTTCACTATGAAGAAAAGTTTATTATACATCCTTATACATTTTTCATCGGCAGTTATTGCTGATTGGATCACCGTAGAACATGATTATAATATGTGCGACTTGAACATACCTTCTGATCTGGCGGCGTTCCATCTTGACGATAATGGCGTTGTTTATTCGGCGTCCCTTTTAATCAGGGATGTACAAATTTTAAAGCATGAGCCACCCTTAACAACTGTAAACGTCACTATGGGGGGATGTACCAATGATTGTAAATTCAGCTTTACGGTGGAAATAAACAGGGATAATCTTTCGGTATCGTCGTATCCCATAGAAAATAATAACTACAAATGTCGTTTAAGCAAGTACACGATGAACATTATTCCGACCCCTAAAATTACATATGTGCACGTAGCACCGAACCCAGATCATGTATTTCCAACTGAATTAACTGCCCAGTATTGCAAAGAAGGCAAACACCCAGATGACCCCGCTTGGTCATTTAGTCAGACAGAACATGTAGCTGAATGCATCGATTATTTGACTGGTCATGAAGTTGGAACATACGCAGCATCTCTTCAGTTCGGTTCAGGAAGCTCGTTCAATCCTAATGGTTATGGTGTTGCCACATATCACATGATTAATTCGGCAAACAAGCTATTCAATTATTGGGAGAGACACCATCGAGGGTATCATGATGCCCTTGTTGAACTAAGTGTTAAAATGACTCCCGATAATCTAAAAGAATTGATCCCACCGCCGCCACCACCGCCTAAAGAAAACTTGCTCAAAGCTCTTATATTGCCTTTAAGCATTTTCGTTGTTTCATTAGCAATTGGTATGGTTGGATCATATTTACTCAACACGGCGGCAATATGGTTGGGGGTCGTGGAAACCACCACCGATATCGCTGCCGACATTGGTGCTGCTGATGATCTTATAACAACAACAGCTGAAGAAACATCAACTGAAGCAACGGCAGTCAGAGAAGCAGCGCAATCTTTTAAAGAAAATCAGCTCTCAGATTTTCTGGCTTGGTGGAAAGATATGACAGGCGAGACCGTAATTTTTGATGACGAATCTCTTTCATCATACTATGCAAATGCAGAAAATCCGACTGCGAATGAAATCATTGAAGCTTTGGGTAGGGCCACTATAATCCGAAAGAGGGATACAAATCCGGGTATACATTTAGGATTGTTTACGGCTAACTTAGTGAATGCATACTTTCTACCGAGTTTGATGGACAATGTTCACCAATCATTTACCGGCAATAATCAAAAATATTCAGATATTTCATCATATCTATCAGCCGCAAGTGAAAATCTCGAATTTCATTTTCATGATACATTACACAATAATTTTTTTACTGCAAACAAGTCAATATTAACTAGTTTTACCGTAAATCAAGCTGTGAATAATGGTAAATTACTTGACAATGATGATGACGTATATAATACTATTAAAGATAATACATATAACGCTATATCGGCATCAATAATAAGCTCTACATTAAGAAAATTGAATGTTGAAATATGTGACCCAAAACCTTCATTTTGCGGACAATCTTGTGATTCTGGTCATATTTATTGTCCAATAGTCGGAAATAATACTAATAGCTGTGTAATAGCTGCCGTAGATAGTCAATTAAAAGAACTTAACTTACTTCGAAATACCTCTGATATATGTTCAAATGACAAAAGTACTGGTTGGAATATAACCCATAATTCCAATTGTAATATTAACCAATTCAAATGTCAATAATAAGGTCGCAAATTACACAAACGGGAACATTTTAGTGTTGACAATCCTCATCAATTGTTAATTCTTTTTCAATGAATGTTAAGATTTGGTGTAGAATTTGTTATATTTTTTGCAAGCTATTGTTTATTAAATGTTCTAATATAAAAATTATAATAATTACAATAAGAAATTCATTTTAAAACATTTATATTTCTCCTTTCTGACATATTATGTACTGTACTTATTTAAGAATTATTAATACCCAAAATTATTATTTATAGAAAACAAAGAAAATGAATTTTAAAATATAAGAATTATCCCTTCGTCTGTATCGCAGGAAAATTTGCCTGATAAACATCGTATCCTGTGAAAATCTAAAGACGAAGGGATAGCTTATTGAAAGTTCTTTTCTTTACTAAAAACAAAATAAAAAATGAAATGTTGAATTTCCAATTTACATCTATTTTATAAATTTTATTCTTTTTAGTTTTATATTTCAATGGAAGGCCTGTGCTAATATAAAATAAAGATTCATATAGGTAAATATAACTAACTAAAAAACTTCTATTTAATGGTATACAGCTCGACTATTTGATTGCGAAATTTAGCTTTCATAAATCGGCACAAAATTTGTATATAATTCATGTAAAAGGTTTTTAGTCAAAGATTTCCAAATCAACATGTCTCATGTCATTTTGCATATCTCTATCAAGTATTCTAGATAAACCTCGTAGAAGGATAAAATAGATTTCAATTTCGATCGATCCATTTAGTTTTGTGCTTGAGAACATCCTGTAATAGATTAAATTTGTAAATAAAATTAATTAATTAATTAAAAAGTAGCTATATATATGCAAATTAAAAAAAAAAAATTAATAAAAAAATAAAAAAGAAAAATTAAAAATTAAATTAAAAAAAAATATAAATTTAATTTATCATTTAAAAGTTGAAATTAAATACTAATATATAAATTACATCAATTATGTTAGAATTAGGGGCTAGAGTTATATTTTTTAAAAAACACCAATGATGGGTTAGTATCAAGTTATGGATAGATTAGAGTGGGTTGGATTATTTATAAATAAAAATCAAATTGTATTATTTACTTTAATTTTCTTTGCTATAGATATGCTTAAACTTTAAAAAATTAATTCGTATCAAAGTTTGATAGTAAATCATAAAGTAATAACAAATAATAATGATAAGAATCCTTCAAATCTCTATTTCTTTACTATTTAGTCTTTTAAAAACAAACAATACAACTTCTTTCTTTGGGTAGTTTTGTGTTAAAATTATTGTATATACCATAAAATTGTAAAAATAAGCACCCTTAAAAATAAGCATTCCTGTCAATACTATGGTATAGATTTTCATATATATAATATATAGTTCCGATCATTTATGTATTTTGTTTTCATACTGGTATAGTTTTTTCATACATATTTAGTTATTTACTACAAAAACTATACTAGTATGAAATTTTCAATTTTCAAAAACTATTGAATATTATATATTTAATTAGATCAAATATAATTTTATCATCAAATACAGTTTCAATAATTTAAAAAATAATCAGATTTGTTAATTAACTTTTTTAGAACTTTAGTTATATGTAAAAATAAGAAAATTTGAAAAAAAAGGTAAAATTTGATTATAAAAAAATAAAGTTTGAGTTGAAATTATTTTAAAAGTAAATAGATGATTTAAAGTAAATAAAAATAATTTATCAAAATGATTTATTAAAATAATATCAATAAAATCATTTTTTTAATTCTAAATATTTGATATTATTTTAGCAAAAAAATGTCAAATTATAAGAAAATTTTAGTTTAATTTGAAAGTTCAATATAATAAATATATTATTTTAAATGAATAATATAAAAATTTATTCAATTGAAATAATAAATATATTATTTCAAAAGAATAATATAAAAAATTATTTATTTGAAATAATAAAAATATTGTTCTAATACATTGTTTTAAATAAATGATAAAAGATTATTTGATTAAAATGATAGAAATTATCATTTTAAATAAATGATACAAAAATTATTTAAATAAAATAGAGCTCTGAACAGGTCAATTTAGACCAGATCAATCAAATTATCTGAATTAAAAGGATTAAGTTAGATAATATAAAAATCTGACCTAGTTTAAATTTTCACTTGATCTGACTGATCTGACTTGATTTGTTCAATAAAAATATTATTCAAGAATAATAAAATCATTATTCTTAAATGATAAAATTATCATTCAAGAATGTTAATAAATTATTTTAATTGAATAATAAAATATGATAAAAATATTATTCAAGAATGATAAAATTATTATTCAAAATAATAAAACTATTATTTAAGAATGATAATGAACTGTTCTGTTTGAATAATAAAATATAATAAAAATATCATTCAAGAATAATAATTGTTTTAATTGAATGATAAAATATTATAAAAATATCATTTAAGAATAATAAAATTATTATTTAAAAATAATAAAATATCATTCTAATTGAATGATAAAACATCATTTAAAATGATAAAATTAATAATTCAAGAATAATAAAACTATAGTTCAAGAATGATAAAATGTCATTTAAAAATGATAATGAATCATTTTAATTAAATGATAAAATATCATTCAAGAATGATAAATTATAGTCAAGAATAATAAAATTATGATTTAAGAATAATAAAATATCATTCAAAAATAATAATGAATTATTCTAATTGAATGATAAATTATCATTCAAAAATGATAAAACATTAGTTCAAAAATAATAAAACTACGATTTAAAAATGATAAAATATTATTTTTGAATGATAAACTATTATTTAAGAATGATAATCAATTAACCTGAATTTTATCAATTCATATTAGATCAGGTCAACCTGTTGATCTAATTTGACATCAACCTAAAAATCTATTGATCTGATTTAAATTTTCAGATTAGGTCAAATCAGGTAAATAAATTGACTTGATTTAATTAAAAGCTCTAAATTGAAATAATAAAAATATTATTCTAATCAAATGATACAAATATTGTATATTTAAATGATAGAAATTATTATTTCAAATGAATAATTTAAAATATCATTTCTTTGGAATAATTTAATTATTATTTTAATTGTATGATATAAAAATCATTTATTTAAATAATTTAAAATATTATTCTAAATATATAATACAAGGATTGTTTAATTAAAACAAACAATAAAAATATCATTCTAATTAAATAATATAAATATTATTTATTTAAAATAATTGAAATAATTCAAATTATCATTTCATATATATAATACAAATATTATTTATTTAAAATGTTAAAAATTATTGTTCTTTTAAATAATTCAAATTATCATTTCAAATAAATGATAAAAATATTCCTTTAGAATGATTTAAAATATTATTTTTTTGAAATAATTCAAAATATTATTTTAAATAAATGATATAAACGTCATTCATTTAAAATAATTTAAATTATCATTCTAAATGAACAATAAAATAAAGGTTAAAATTGATCAAAAAATTCTTAACTGATTAATAATTGATTAACAAGCTACTGTAAATGAATAATAATCAGTTAATTAATCAGTTAATTAATAAGTTAATTTATAATAACATTAATCAATTAATTAACTAATTAATATATAAATTTCATATTTAAAATATACATTTTATAACTTATTACTTACAATTATAATTAATGTTTCAAAATATTTATTTATATATAAATACTTAATTACAGATTTATAAGTAATGTTAAAAAAAATAAAAATATGGAAATTTTGTAAAATATTTAATAAAAAATATTAGTTTAACTTTTTCTAATTTAATAAATAAAAATTTATTAGTATAATATAAGAAAACATTTTAATTATAGTTTAAATATTTACTTTATTAATAGCAAGTGTAAAAATATCTAGAGTTCTGAATAAGTCGAGTTAACTCACGAATTAAATGAGTCAAATCAAGTTTAAATCAAGTCAAATTTATATTTTTTGACTTAACGATTTGTGAGTCATGTCAATTTCAAGTTAAGTTAAATATTTAACTCAATTCGATTTAAACTCAACTCAAACTCAACTTGACTCAAGTTGACTTGAAATAATATTATTAATAAATTAATGTTTTAAAACTATAAAATTATATATTATAATAATTAAAATACTTTATAATAGTTGAAATGTATTAATAGTTAATAATTGAAATTTATTTTATTAATTTAAACTATAAATTTAA